CATAAATCACTTGGTTTTTATGTGGGCTGAGATACTGCCTAGGCGCTCAAATCGAAGCGGTTGGCTTACTTAGGGGGCTACGCTCGGAGCCTTCGACCTAAAAGTCTGATTCAGAAGTCAGTGGAGCAACGTAAGGAGATGCGATCCCATGATAGCCGTTGGCCAACGATTGATTCATACTCCATTTGTTCTTTCTGGATCCTGGAGTACATATGCACCATTGATTTGGAATCAGGGTTTTCCAATTCCCTTAAGTGGATCCTTTATGTCCGCCGACCCGGTTTAGGCGCCCACTTAATTTCGTAAACAACACTCCCCCTTTACATCAATAATGTTATTTTATCTACATGTTGATTTAAACGATCACACATAAAGAATAATTTAATCTAACAAGTAAATGTGTACATTTTAAACGTTTAAGTACCAATTATGTAATATACATTAGAACTTCCGTCTAAATCTGATCAAATAATTTCACAGTATTTGGGTGACAAGTTGATGTGAGACATTAAAGAGAAAGAATGTATTTGTAAAATCTCAGCGAATGAATTTCAAGTTAATTCGACGTTTCTCTTGACTCTCTGGTTCAAGTTTTTGTCGAAGAAATATCATCGAACATTAAAATGATCGAATATAAAATTAGGTAAATGGTTTTCTGATTCACAGTAAACTAAATAAGTTATCCAATCAACTTGCGAGAAGAAATTTTATTTACCAACCAGAGACAATATATTACTTACTTACGTACTTGGGCCTGTTACTTCCAATGGAGTATAGGCCACCGACCAGCATTCACATACACACTCTGTCCAGGGACTGCCTTTCTAGTTCTATTCAACTAATATTTATTTTTCTCATGTCTGTCTGCATTTTTCGGCCCAATGTGTTCCTTAGTCTTCCTCTTTTCCTTTGGCCTTGAGGATTGCAAGTCAGGGCACGCTTTTCGACACAGCTGGGTGCTTTCCTCAATGTGTGTCATATCCACTTCTAATGCTTCTTCTTGATTTCTTCGTCCACTGCAATATGGTTTGTTCTCTTTTTCACAGTAGATTGTTGCTGATAATGTCTGATCAACGGATCCGAAGTACTTTGAATAGACAACTGTGAATAAACATTAGTGTCTTCTGGATGGTGGTTTTCGTAGTTCTCCAAGTTTCCACGACATACAGTAGAATTGTCTTGACATTTGTATTGAAAATTCTGACTTTGGTGTTAATTGACAGTTGTTTTGAGTTCCAGATGTTCTTCAGTTTTACATATGCTGCTCTTGCTTTACCGATTCGTGCATTCACCTCTGCATCATATCCACTGTGTTCATCAATGATGCTGCCCAAATATGTAAATGTTTTTACATCTTCCAAAGCTTCTCCCTCAATTGCGATTCGATTGGTGTATGCTGTGTTGTATCGGATGATCTTGATTTTCTATTTGTGTATTTTGAGATGTTGCGCTTCTGAGGCTGCTGGTACACTAGTCGTCTTCTCCTGCATTTGTTATTGCGTGTGCGATAGGAGGGCCATATCATCTGCGAAGTCTTTATCGTCCACCTGCATCGTAGATGTACATTGTATCCCATGCTTCGCCTTCCAGATACTGACATCTTCATGATCCAGTCGATCACCAAGAGAAAGTGACAATGATATAATTAATGAAGTTTCTTCTCATACCACTTACATAAACACACAATCTGTTATCTTAACACACTTTACATTTCACACCACATGTCTTTTACACAGAAATATAAATACCTACTTTAAACATTGTTAACGTTGATTGGGTGACTTATATAGTATAAAGTGAACCAGAGAATCATGTACCTCATTTTTATATCCGATAATCTTCATGTTTGATTATATTTTCCTTCAAAACGTTTAAACCAGATTGTCAGGAGAAACGTTGAACGTACTTCAAATTGATTCATTGAGATGTCATCAATCCACTCTTCTTCTTCTTTAACAATTGTGTAATTAGATATGCAAGAAAAAACAAAGAAAGAAAGATTTCAATTGTTTAGATCATGAGTCAATTGAAGCTAGACCACCATGGAAAGCCTGGAAGCAATGGACGGCCGTTTCGTCCTACTATGAGACCCCCAGAAGTGCTCATCCAAGATCCCGCCTCGCGGGGGTCCCAAAACAGGACGAAACGGCCATCCAGTGCTTCCAGGTTTTCCATAGTGGTCTAGCTTTAAATGACTAATGATCTCCACAATTGAAATTACTAAAGTCTCCACAAAACCTCTTTCTGATAATAAAAAAAATGATTGTTACTCACTTAAATAATAATTGAATACATAAATATTTGTGTTAACCTTCTCAATAGAACGTCTAATACGAACATATTCTGACTGAAATATAACTCCTTGCAAAAAACAAAACAAACAATGATGTATAGATGGTTAATATAACGACTATAATTTATGAATGAACCAATCAGATTTAAGAGAGCAGATCTTGAATTTTGGCGCGAAATTTATTCATCCACTTAGTAAAATAGAGTTTTGACATTATAACTGATATCAGTTTGTGATGAAAACCCCTTAAATCTAATTTCTAACCTTAAATATCAACTGTAAATCATAATTGTAATTTCTCACACTGGTTTATAACTCTCAATTAACTGTAGTATGTAGGTGGACACCCTCAAGGTTACTGTAGCGTCACTCAAAGGTCGTCCATAAATTATAGTCTCACCAGTGATAAATTTATCGACATGTTGAACAATGTCACCCAGATTTATTTTAAATTGGTTATGTAGTGAACGAGAACACCAATATGAACAATTGAATGCATTTTAGTACCTAATTACAGAAAATCGTAGTAAAATCTGAGAACCATACAGTTGATATTTTATTTGCAAAATGTCAATCAGTCATCTAAGACTTCATTGTTTTTTGTTTCCATGCTAATCATTCTTTGTTCTCCTTAACCTTCTGCCTGCAGGCATTTCACTTTCGAATGATGATAAATACTACTTAAATCCGTCGATATCACTAGCACATATCACAGGTTTGCTCTCATATTAAAATTTATTAATTCATTGATTGAAGTCTGTGTACTTTTATAACATCAATGTAGACTTACAGTATACTTGGCTTATCATAAACGATGTTGTTTATAAACGTTTATAACAAAATGCAAATTTCACACCTAACCATTACATATAAATCCATTTTATAGTGTTTGTTTGAATCATCACATCGATGTTTAGGATTTCAATTGATCAATCTCTTATTGATAGGACTCAGTATCTAGGTCAATAAAGCGATGAAGTTTAAAGCAAAAGGTACTGAATTCGAGTCTCAGATTGAATATCAACTCTGAGAAGCAGGTATATTCAGCTGACGAGTCCCAAAAGTAGGGCGAAATGCACGTCCTGGATTCCACTGCTAGCCACCATCCGTCTTTATATATATATATATATATATATATATATATATATATATATTTATAAATTTATACTTATAACAATGCCAACTTACCTGGTTTGTAGGTTGTAAAATATTTATGACAATCTCTTTCAGAATAGTCCGTTGATATTTCTGTGTTCACATACAATAACAAAATCACAAGTGGTGATAATCACTGAATTCCATGATAACTTTGATTATAGATGATTACATCATTCTTATTTTGTGTATTTAACCTGTCATATACTTTTTAGGGAATCAAGATGGTATATGACGTAGTTTGTTTGATCCATTAAACGATGTATGACTAACAACGGTGTTGTTGAATTTGGTTCAACTTAGTCGACTATTTACTAGAGTTCATCTTGTTGTTGATGTCTGTGAGTTCAAAGGATTAACAGAGGTGCATATGTTGTTGTTCTAGACAATATTATAAGAGGTTACTTCAAACAGAAGTGAACTTTTTAGTTAGTCTGAGAATTTCAAACCAATTTTTACTGATTGACTTAGTGATAGTAGTAGTGAAACTTCATCAGTTGAGATGGCTGAGAAATGTTTTAAGTATGCTGAACCAACGACTGCACCGACGTGCGATGTTCAGTGGTATAGGATTAGGTTGAAAGAAAGCTAGAGGCGGCCAGACCAAAACATGGCACAAATCCATAAAGTCACTGACAAGTAGACTCAGCCATGTTGGTAGGTGTAGACTACCTAGTTGGGATCCGCGAGACGATAGTAACCGATGATTAGAGACTTTGAATGACATTGCTCAAAATCGTTTGCAATAGCTCAGGTGTATCCACTCTTTGTGTTCTCCCAAATTCTAGTCTTCTGAATTTTTCATGTCCCTTTCTTTTCACTCCTTCCAAATTCATTTCACTGTATTATACTTCTTGAATAACATCTTCAAGCCCTAATGTTTCCGATTACTGCTTATACTCTTACTATCTCTACCACTATGGGATTTTAATCGATAATTGTATCTGTGTACCAATGTGGTATGGTAACTCGAATTGATGTATGTACGTACAATGTTCTACGTAGTTACTGACTGACTGAACTGACTGACGGAGTTAGTTATCCTTGTAAGTTTCATTATTTTCATCTGTCTTAGTGTTTAAGTCTTGTATATCTTTTGCCGGATTATTATTTGGTTTTTTTCGAAAATGAATTGATTGATCAGATTTACATCAAAATGTTTGTACATTGCTAATTGACTTGAATAGTATGTTTCTAGAATCTTCTTATCAATCTTAAAATTCTAAAGATCCATAATTTCCATGACAACAATTTTGTGTTTATTGATAGTATGATGTATTTCATCAATTAAAAAAGAGACATGTTTATGAAGCCTCAATTTTGTTTTAACAGAGTGATATGAATATTACGTGACATAGTTACAAAGGTAATAAAGTGATAATATTTTAACACATATGTTGGTATAAAGGGGGCACCAAATATATATGTGCCACGTAAAGCATTCAATTTGTGTGAGGGATGGGATACTGCCTGGTTATACAAACCGAAATAGGAGGTTTTCTTGTGGGGCTACACCCGGAGCCTTTGACCTAAAGATCTGATTCACAAGGCAATGGAACAATGTTAGGGGACGCAATCCCATGGTAACCAGTGACCAATAATTGGTTCATGCTCCAGTTGTACTTTCAGGATCCTGGAGCTCATGTGCATCATTGGTTTGAAATGAGTGTTTTCCAACTCCTCTGGTTGAATCCTCCTTATTCATATTCTGTGTAAAAATATGTGTATTTATATAATGTGACAGATGAAGAAAGAATTCATTTGGACACATTAGGATATTTTAACTTACTTTGATGAAATGATTCATCTATGTCTAAACAAGTTTTCAATGCAGATGATTCCATGAGATTTACCTCTAGAAAACAATAACAAAATTCACAAAAGATATATATAATATACCCTTGTGGTTCAGGGTAATTTTATATTGGATTTCAAAGAACCAGAAGCCATTCAGACTTTCACGTGACAACCGAAACAGTACAGCTCAATCCCGTTTAACAAGGGAACCAGACACCGCACAGAATTAAAATTTGTGGCCCAAATAGTATGGCTCAATCCTGTTTCGAGGAGAACCAAACACTATCCAGACTTACATTTTATAACCAGAGCAGTAAGGCTCAGTTTTTCAGGAGAACCAGACACCGAATAGACTTTGACGCTACAATCTGAATAGTACAGCTCAATCCTGTGAAGCAATCACATAAGTATCAAGCACCCTGGTAGACCATCACCAAAAATATTGATTACAATTCTTTAGATCATACTTGTAGCTCTCATTTTACAGGACACATTGTATTACGTAATATCAGATAGTGTATTTCTTATATAGGGAAAGTGAAATTATGTTTCAATGGGAATATTACAGTTTACTTACGATGTAACGTTTGTGTGTTATTCATTAAATCCTTTAGACCTATAATGTTTACAAGAATATTCAAACGAAGTTGTAATTGTGTAAATACAATGTGCTATTAATGATTGGATCTTACTTTCTTTTCAAATTCTCTACAGTTCATTAGCTTTGAAGTAGTATAGTAAGTCATTTTTTAGTTATTAATCAAGGCATGGTTCAGTTAAAGGAAAGAGAAGAAGACAACAAACAAGAAGAGACGAACAAGAAGGAACAGGGAAAACAAAGACACAGGCCGAAAGTGAATAAGCAAACAAGCTAGTGAAAAGGATTTATTTAAATATATATATATATATTATATATATATATATATATATATATTTGGTGCCTCCTTGTACCGATGTTTATGTTCCATAAAAATAATTCAACTTGTGTGAGGGCTTGGATATTGTCCGGATGCCAAAACTGAAACAGGTAGTGAAGCATTGAAGCTGGTAAGTGGAATTCTGCAGACGACCTTGATGACATCAACAGAGGTAGTGAGATAACTATTTGATGCGACAAAGAAGCTAGTTATAAAATATAATAAACCAGGGCGAATAGACAAGAACAAAAATCGCAAATTAATCACTAAGTTGTAAGAAGAGTAGAACTTATGGAAGTACTTGTGAATGGGCCAACTCCATCAAATACATGATACATCGCAGCAACACACATAGACCTTCCTATAGATGTCAATTCACCAACGATCGAAGAAATCAGGATGATTTGTCATCAAACAAATTAACACTGGGAAAGCAGCAGCACCTGACAACATTGCAATTAAAGCACTGAACTCAGACAGAAGTAACTGATCGGATCTGCAAACCAAGAGCAGCATATGTAAAACTGAAGAACATCTGGAACTCAAAACAACTGTCAATTAACACCAAAGTCAGAATTTTCAATACAAATGTCAAGACAATTCTACTGTATGTGGTGGAAACTTGGAGAACTACGAAAACCACCATCCAGAAGACACTAATGTTTATTCACAGTTGTCTATTCAAAGTACTTCGGATCCGTTGATCAGACATTATCAGCAACAATCTACTGTGAAAAGAGAACAAACCATATTGCAGTGGACGAAGAAATCAAGAAGAAGCATTAGAAGTGGATATGACACACCTTGAGGAAAGCAATCAACTGTGTCACAAGGCGACGAAGAAAAGGAAGACAACACAATATATTTGGGCAAGAGGGAGAGACAGATATGAGAAGAATGAATATTAGTTGAATAGAACTAGAAAGGCAGACCCTGGACAGATTGTGTTGGTGAAAGCTGGTTAGTGGACTAAACACCATTGAGAGCAAAATTCACAAGTAAGTAAGTAGGTAAGTAAGTAAGTAAGTAAGTAAGTAAGTAAGTAAGTAAGTAAGTAAGGAAGTGAGTGAGTAAATTAGTAATTCAGGTTCGCTGAAGTGGTATCTATACGAAAGTTCAGTTAGCCTTTATATATTGATATAACAATAACAAACCTGGTTTATTCTGTCCTTCAAATTACCCTGATAACTCTCGCTTCTTATATGGAAGAATGAGTTTCATATGGTTTTTCCATATGTCTTAATTCACCATCATCATCATCATCATCATCATCATCATCATCATCATCATCATCATCATCATCATCATCATCATCATCATCATCATCATCATCATCATCATCATCATCATCATCATCATCATCATCATCATCATCATCATCATCATCATCATCATCATCATCATCATCATCATCATCATCATCATCATCATCATCATCATCATCATCATCATCATCATCATCATCATCATCATCATCATCATCATCATCATCATCATCATCATCATCATCATCATCATCATCATCATCATCATCATCATCATCATCATCATCATCATCATCATCATCATCATCATCATCATCATCATCATCATCATCATCATCATCATCATCATCATCATCATCATCATCATCATCATCATCATCATCATCATCATCATCATCATCATCATCATCATCATCATCATCATCATCATCATCATCATCATCATCATCATCATCATCATCATCATCATCATCATCATCATCATCATCATCATCATCATCATCATCATCATCATCATCATCATCATCATCATCATCATCATCATCATCATCATCATCATCATCATCATCATCATCATCATCATCATCATCATCATCATCATCATCATCATCATCATCATCATCATCATCATCATCATCATCATCATCATCATCATCATCATCATCATCATCATCATCATCATCATCATCATCATCATCATCATCATCATCATCATCATCATCATCATCATCATCATCATCATCATCATCATCATCATCATCATCATCATCATCATCATCATCATCATCATCATCATCATCATCATCATCATCATCATCATCATCATCATCATCATCATCATCATCATCATCATCATCATCATCATCATCATCATCATCATCATCATCATCATCATCATCATCATCATCATCATCATCATCATCATCATCATCATCATCATCATCATCATCATCATCATCATCATCATCATCATCATCATCATCATCATCATCATCATCATCATCATCATCATCATCATCATCATCATCATCATCATCATCATCATCATCATCATCATCATCATCATCATCATCATCATCATCATCATCATCATCATCATCATCATCATCATCATCATCATCATCATCATCATCATCATCATCATCATCATCATCATCATCATCATCATCATCATCATCATCATCATCATCATCATCATCATCATCATCATCATCATCATCATCATCATCATCATCATCATCATCATCATCATCATCATCATCATCATCATCATCATCATCATCATCATCATCATCATCATCATCATCATCATCATCATCATCATCATCATCATCATCATCATCATCATCATCATCATCATCATCATCATCATCATCATCATCATCATCATCATCATCATCATCATCATCATCATCATCATCATCATCATCATCATCATCATCATCATCATCATCATCATCATCATCATCATCATCATCATCATCATCATCATCATCATCATCATCATCATCATCATCATCATCATCATCATCATCATCATCATCATCATCATCATCATCATCATCATCATCATCATCATCATCATCATCATCATCATCATCATCATCATCATCATCATCATCATCATCATCATCATCATCATCATCATCATCATCATCATCATCATCATCATCATCATCATCATCATCATCATCATCATCATCATCATCATCATCATCATCATCATCATCATCATCATCATCATCATCATCATCATCATCATCATCATCATCATCATCATCATCATCATCATCATCATCATCATCATCATCATCATCATCATCATCATCATCATCATCATCATCATCATCATCATCATCATCATCATCATCATCATCATCATCATCATCATCATCATCATCATCATCATCATCATCATCATCATCATCATCATCATCATCATCATCATCATCATCATCATCATCATCATCATCATCATCATCATCATCATCATCATCATCATCATCATCATCATCATCATCATCATCATCATCATCATCATCATCATCATCATCATCATCATCATCATCATCATCATCATCATCATCATCATCATCATCATCATCATCATCATCATCATCATCATCATCATCATCATCATCATCATCATCATCATCATCATCATCATCATCATCATCATCATCATCATCATCATCATCATCATCATCATCATCATCATCATCATCATCATCATCATCATCATCATCATCATCATCATCATCATCATCATCATCATCATCATCATCATCATCATCATCATCATCATCATCATCATCATCATCATCATCATCATCATCATCATCATCATCATCATCATCATCATCATCATCATCATCATCATCATCATCATCATCATCATCATCATCATCATCATCATCATCATCATCATCATCATCATCATCATCATCATCATCATCATCATCATCATCATCATCATCATCATCATCATCATCATCATCATCATCATCATCATCCCATTTGATCCGAAATAATATGAATTTCTGATTTTTATTAACTGAATATAAGCCATTTCTTTAGAGTAGATATTATAATATTTTAATGGGTAAATTCATGAATCAGTTATTTATTTGAACATAGAAATTTTGGTTCATGTAGGCACCAACTATATATATACCACGCGAATCATTCGATTTATGTAAGAACTGGTATACTGACCGAGTGCCCAAACCGAAGTTGGTGGTTTTCTTAGGTGGCTACAGTTGGAGCCTTTGACCTAGAGGTTTGATTCACAAGACAGTGTAGTAACGTTAGGAGATTCAGTCCCATTGTACGCGGTTTTCAACAATTGATTCATACTCCATTTGTTCCAGCAGGATACTGAAGCACATGTGCACCATTGGTTTAGAATGAGGGTTTTCCAACCCCCATCGTGGATCCCCTGTGTCTACTATCCCGGTTGGAGAGCGATACATTCTCTTTTTGTCCCCTAAATTTCGTAAACAACACTCTCACTAGGAGAAGGCAGTGAGTATGACTTCCCTGGCAGTGGTTGTATGCACGTGGGGACTTGAGAGCGTTTCGAGTGGGAGGGCCGTCTCTCTCCACTTTTGGCTGTACTAGGGTATTTAGGGGCTAGACCACCATAGAAAACAATAGTTAGCCTTTTCGTTTTAAAATGGAACTTCTCTACACTGTATATATATGATCCCACTCGTGGGACTCGAACCCAGGATCTATCAGTCTCACACATGAGCCGGCATCTAACGGTGTCTCACAAATGGTAACAAGTGTAAGCAATAAGTATAAAGAGAAATCTCACACTGAAATTATTGATCACATTCTCCACAAGTAGTAATCATATCTACACTAAATATCATTATACAATCGAATTAATTCATTTCTATGCTGAATATAAAACATCAATTTGTCATAATTTAGTCTTTACAAAATATACTACTCACTTTTAGTAAGTTTTAACAAACTTTCACTTTTCATACGTTTAAGTGTACAGCTCACATCTAGAATTATAATTATCATTATGTAATAAAAAGAAAAAGCATTCTACATGCATTTGGTAAGTGATTCAAATTCCGTTGGATATTCTTCGATTAGTTGATCTGAAAGGTAGATTAATTTAAATAGTGATGATGATGATGATGATGATGATTATGATTATGATTTGATTGATGATGACGATGATAATGGTAACTATATTACTTTCAACCTCCTCAATGGTTAGACGACTTATTCTCTCTACTTTATATTTAGTGGATTAGAGCTTTAAGTTGAAGGATTCGGGTGTGGCTCCTTAAGGAAACCATCTGTTTCGGTCTGGGTAGCCGGACAATATCATAGCTCATACACAAAATCAAGTGACTTGTGTAACGCATATGTAATTGGTGCCCCTTTGGACCATTATTTATGTGTTCAAATAAATAAATTAAAAGAATTTACATTTTACATAATTCATTTCATCTATCGATTTGTCCATTTGTAATATTGCATAATTGAATTGACCTATAAAAAAATAAGATCAGTATGGGGATTTGTAGAGATTGTAATAATTAAATAATTGAATTCAATAGTCAATCTAAACTAGACCACCATTGAAAACGTAGAATCACAAGACGGCTGTTTCGTTTTAGTATGGGACTCACCAGTAAGCATCCACGATCCCTTCCGCCGCGAATTCGAACCCAGGACCTATCAGTTTCGCGCGCGAGCACTTAACCACTAGAACACTGAACCAGCATCCAATGGTGCTAATTTTTATAACTTCAATCAATCCACAAAATTGCGCCACTGTACACCATTGTCTTCAATAAGCTGATATCTTACAATAGATCTGGTTGAACTCCACTGGCTTTCCATGGTGGTCTAGCTTCAATTGACTCATGATATCAACTATTAAAATTATGAAATTATTTGAATGATTTGAAAATGGTTATAAATGAATACTTACGTTTGGCTTGATCTCTATGGTATTCCAATGTCCGCAATTTTATCCAATCATATACTAAAAAATAAGTCATCAATTCAGTACATGCTTAATATCATAGATAAATATCAAAGATGTTATAAGAACACTAATGTATTTATCCAAATAAATAACAATAATAATAATAACAACAACAACACCAAACTGCCATTTCATTACGGAATTATATGTAGATGACTTTATATAAAAATCAATACAACCGTTTTGAAACAGGAAAATCAAGTTCCAGAGTAAACATCAGTTCTGAGATGCAGCTGATGAGTTCCAAATAGGATGAAACGCGCGTCAAACTGGATTCCATTGGGAGTCACTATCCATCTTTTCTGAAGAAGCTGGTGACTTAAGGCTATATCGAGGCAATCCACACAGGATGAGCATAAGCCAACATGAGACTGATCAATTGCAGTTCTAAATAACAATGGGAAGATACAAGTAAAACAACACCAAGTGAATTTAAACTTCATCCTATTGCACAAGCAGTTGGCTGTCAGGTCTCAGTAGGTAAGTCGAGAACGTGACGGCGTTTGAAGCGAATTGTATTGGGTTCGACTCCTTCCCATAGTGAACATCAGCTCTGAGATGCAGGTTCACTCAGTTGACGAGTCCCGAATAGGGCGAAACGCGCGTCCTGGATTTCACTGCTAGCCACTATAAATCATTAGAATGTTCAAATGCATTTGACTTTAAAAGTCTAGTCTGTTACTTCTATATATATTTAAAGATAATTTGAATGATTCTCATGAGTTTGTCACCCTTTTGCCAACATCAGATATACATTTATTCGTATAGATATTAAGAAAAATCTAATGTATTAACTGATAAAAATCGTATACCATCTTCATATGATTTCACATGTATTACACAACAATTATGTCATAAATGCAACAAACTATCCTGAATCGGTTCAAGTTGCACACACCCTGTTAGCACAGCAAGATGAACACCGGATTCATAGTAGTTAATTCAGTGGTGAAAATGCATAAAAGAAAGATCGCATATAAGGATACAATACAGGAAGAAAGAATTAGTACGTAGAAAGAAAGATATGAAGCGATTGTAATCTCTTACTTTAAGGGAAGACAGAGAGTGTATACATTAACGCCATTGTGATCGATTCTAAGCCATGTCACCAAGAGTCTCCAACCATTGGTTACGATAGTCACGTGAACCCCAACCAAGTAGTCTGCATCTACCAACATGGCTGAGACCAGAAGTTAGTGACTTCAAGCACTAATGTCACGTTTTCATTTGGCCGCCACCAACATTCTTCCAACCATCCGCACCACTAGTCAGTCAGCGTTGAGCGTCATGGTAATCGGTGTTCAGGCATACGTACCACGTGGCCCAACCATCTCAATCGATGAACATTTACTACTATGCGTCTAATCTCACTATCAAATTCAAATCATATGTATATTTCTCATAGTCCCTTAATACGTATATATGAACTGATTTCATCAAAAACTAACGGTGAGACTATAATTCATGGACGATCTTTTGATCGACGCTAAGATGACCTTGAGAGCGTTCACCTTATAACTAGGATCAAATGGTGGTTTTACAGTTGATGATTAAGGTTAGACATTAGATTAACATAAGCTATAATGCCAATATTCTATTTGTTCAAATGGATAAATGAATTTTGCGCCAAAATCAAAGACATGTTATCTTATACGTGATTGGTTCGCACATAAATTATAGTCTCACCACATGTTAAATATCAAAATAATGAAACATAGAAAATAGAAAGAAAACGTTTTTACAACATTATACTACTTATTATTACTTATAAACTTACAATCTTGTATAGAAGGATGAATAATTGAAAAAATTATAATCACATAAATAACTGATGAATACTGCATGTTAAGTTGCGAAATTTTCTTTGATTTTATATTTATCTCTATTTATATTGTCATTACGTAATTATGGTTGGTTGCTTGGTTGGTTGGTTAATGATGAATGAATGAACAACCAAAAAAAAATAAACCACGATTTGTTCATTACGAAGAAATATATATATATATATATATATATATATATATATACATACAGAAGATCAATGGTTCAAATACACACACACACACTCACACACAAACACTTTCTCTATATAACTTAATGATATTAGTCTAAATTTAAACATGGTAAAAAGAATAATTTAGTTTAGAGGAATACGGTGAAAAACATTATACATAACAACAAAATAAGACTAATGATGAAGAAGATTTGTAGTTCAAGTAGATGATTTTGATGTATTTTTGTTCTCTAAGCTAGATGGTTTAGTCATGGAGTTTTCATTAGTCTACTGTATGATATCATCAGCAGAAACTTCAAGTAGAGGTGAAGTGTTAGAATTTCTCCACATATGGCTCAAATCTTGTCCTGTAGACCTTGATATTGATCGGTTCTTGTTGACCTTAAGTCTGTCGATGACAGGATAAGATGTGAGTAATATGTGGAGAAATTCTAACACTTCAGTTCCATCTGACGTTTGTGCTCATGATGTCGTTCAGAAGAACCATATAAGCTCTGCGAGTAAACCATCCAACTCAAACAACAAAACTCCATCAAAATAAGACTAATAATAATACCCTACAGTAATATAGTGATTTATTATTTTGTGAAAATACAAAATGAAAAAAACTACATCGAAAACACTTTAACATTATGATATTATTCAGACCTATTGAGAATAATGTGTATGAGCATTTTGCGTTAGTTGTTACTATGCAAATGTTGCACCTATTAAAAGCTAGTGGTAATATAGTGAATGAGAACACAAGTGAGAACAATCGAATGTACAAAATCACAGAACATCCTAGTGAAATCTAAGAACCATACAGTAGATACTTGAGTTGCAAATGTCAATCAATTGTCTCAGACTCGACTGTTCCTTCTTCTTTTCCACACTAATCATTCTCTGTTCTCGTTCACTTTTATTTGATGTTCTTAACGTTGTACCTCCAGGCATTTCACTTTGGCTTGATGATACATACTACTTATATCTGTCGCCATCAGTATGACCGATCGCAGTAAGACTTAGTGT